AGAGCTCCAATAGGTGGCTGGTGGAATCCGATCACATATAAAATGTCTACTCATCATGGTTTCAAAGGACTCTTAACTCACACTCCCGAGGCCCACTTCAGAAGAGATCCATTATTCTAGAGGAAAGGTGCGCCAAAGGGCTCTGAGAACTTCCCTAGCCACATTTCCTCATTTCTGGACATTAGATAGAGTTGAATACAGGAGAAAAGGCTCAAGGTTAATCTGCAATCCACAGAAACACTGACAATCAGGCCTCACAGCCGCCGGTGTGACAAATTGCATTATCCAAAGATGGCCAGGGCAATACATAGTCCCACCAGGTGACGTGACTTTCTCTTTTAACAGACGGAACATGGCAGGAATAAGTTACTTTGTTTAAGTCAAAGCTCATTAATACAATCCAATACAGCTTCTGGCTGGCACATTCTTTAGTCAATGGCTCTGTATTAGAAAAAAATCTCCACAAGGGAATCCGTCTTAGTCCTATCAATTGACCATGCCTGACAACCAGTAGGCACTCAATAAATTTGATAGAAAGTGGCATTCAATAAATTTGATAGAAGGTGCTAGAAAGCTAATGAATGTCTAGGACTGCACAAGCCTCATTTTATAGATTAAATACTTCATCAGACCCAAAAACACATCCATAATTAAAGCAAATTGAATCTATCAGATGCATCAGGAGATACATCAGGAGTAATCAGCAGTGACCAAATCATGGTACCTGCGTGGTCTGGATGATAGTCAAATCATTCATTCGAGAAATCCCTGCTCCCATGGGCGCTCGCAGGCCAGCTGTCCCAAACTCCATCCGGGCCCCAAAGCATTTCTGTAGCTCTTCTTTATTACCCTCAGCCACGAGTTGTTTCACTGACTCCGAAGTTAAGGGATTCTGAAAGACAGACATGGATGTATTAGACACAGCTTGGGTAGGAGAGGACAGAAGATCTACAAAGTAGCCTCCCCCCCACCCTCAACACACACACACACACACACACACACACACACACACACACACACACACACACGTAATTTTAACCTCTAGGCATAACCTGACTATATACAGACTTTTGCATTTTCTGGTGTTTTTGATAGTATGATGTATCATTTTCTTTCTGACTGAGGTAAGCAGTTTTAGAGAAAATGAACAAGGTGCTGTTTTAGAGTAGACATCTAGCATGCACGGGAGCTCCCAGACCATTCACTTACAAACCTGTGCTTGGGAAGGCTAGAGAGTTTCTTGAGTACTTTCTTTCCCCTTCTGTAAAGGGGAACCAGCTACAACCTCTCTTGCACAATTTCTAACATTTTAAATTCGTTTGTCTTTCTCTGCCTGACACTGAGGTGTGATATTCATCTCCTTGTTTGAGGTCCTCAAACTTTCCCAGGGTGATAGGTCAGTCAATTTAATGAAAACTTTACTTTTGTGGTGCTTTACAGTTTTGTTTTGTTTTTACAAAATGTTTTCTTTGTATCTGGTCAAGTTTCAATGACTTTAAGTCAGACCAATAAATAGCTGATGTCTTTAGTAGTGTTTTATACTATAGAATAATCCCAGCACTTGGGAGGCAGAGGCAGGTGGATCTCTGTGAGTTTGAGGCCAGCCTGGTCTATAAAGTGAATTCCAGGACAGCCAGGGCTACACAGAGAAACTCTGTCTCAAAAAACCCAGTAAATAAATAAATAAATAAGAAAGAAAAAAAGAAACTGAGTGGCTTGTTTAAACTGATGAGCATTAGCCTAGTGCCTTTTCTATTACATTAATTGAAAATAGACATGAGCATGAGTCATTAAGTCACCACACGCAGCGTGGCTTTCTTTGTGTAATAGTTGCAGGAGCTGTTAAGATTGGAGAAATAGAGTGATTACCTAACGCCACACGGACTTCTGAATTAAGAACTGAAGGAGGACTGAGTAAGCACTTCACCCCTGTGCTTCCACTCAGCATCCACTAAAACGAACACCAGGCAAGATAAGGCCCCATAATTAAACTTTGAAATGTGGTCGCAATAAAACCTTGGCTTCCTGGAATCGAGCCCATGGTTCCAGATTGTTCCAGATTCAACAGGCACCTAGACCAACCTTTTAATGAAAAACAATAGATCCCAATCACAGAGACCACTCTTACCCATTAAACTGTCAGGTGCCCCCAAGGAAAGGCTCAGAGCTGGTATACACAAGGAGCTCAGCAGCCATCTGCTGAGTGGATGAGAAAACACAGACTTCCTGGCCACACCCAATATCCAGGGCTCCTCTGAGTTCTACGGTAGACCTCAGAAGTCCTAATTGACCTTGGATATCTAGAAAAGACTCAGCAGCCTGAGAGAACAAAGCAGAGAGATAAAAAGTCAAGAGAGCAGCAGAGGTCCGACCTGGAAGTGATGGAAACTGACAGAGAGGGAAGCCCGAGGTGGAGAGCAGTGACGGGTGCCTTGCCAGCATGGGTGGGTTAGCAGCTTCCGCGCTTTTGGCTGGTGGGAGTTTCACTGAAAAATGAATGGGTCCTTCCTAGAGAGGCGCCTATCTCCAGTTGAAGAAACAGAAAGGGACTACAGTCAGCTCCATCAGTGAAGTGCTTGTTACGAAAGCTTTAAGACCCAAGTTCGTATCCCCAGCATGCACCAACAAGGAGAGTTCACCTGTATGACTAATGCTGGAGGTACACAGACTGTGGATACGGAGAGTGGGCTGTTCAGTTAAGCCAAGGTGGAGAGTGACTGAGGAAGACACTTGATGCCAACCTCCGGCCTCTGCACGGACATGCACATGCACACATACACCTGCACACAACCACATAGACACAGACACATTCATACAACACACACACACACACACACACACACACACACACACACACACACACACACACCCCTCTGACTGAGAAAAAGAACAGTGAAATATCTCCAAGGGAGAAAGGGACAATTTCCCTCCACCTCTACCCACGTAGGTACCATCCCTAGACAGATTTCATATTCTGTAGTAATTACACTTTCTGGCTTTCTTTTATGGAATGAGATGACTAAGCCTGAGTCTCAACTTGATGAGATTGAGAAATAAATACCTAGGAGAGCAAAGCTGCTCACTTCTGGGGTATCCGTGAAGTAGCTTCCAAGGATAATTAGATCATGGGCTCTGACAGAATCAAAGGGTCACTCCTTTGACGGGTTCATAATATGGTGGCGTTATGGGGAGGTGACAGAAGGTAGAATGGGAAGCTAGTTGGAGGGTAGAGGTTCCTGGGACTTGTCACTAGGCAATATGTTTTGTGGTGGCCTCTTCATGTATTCTCTCTATTTCCCAGGCATCATGACATGAGCAACTCTGTTACACCTCTCCACCACGAAGGACAAAACCATCTCAAAGTGTGAGCAAAGCAGTTCTTTCCTCCGCTTTAGTCTAGGCCAGATGCTTACTTAGGCAAGTGATCCAATAGCCCGGTACACAGAACAATACTTCATTAACTCTGGCTTTCGGAGAATCTACACAATGCAAGCTACTAAGTTATCAGAAATGGAAACAGTTTCCTTCCCTTAAGCATCCTGAAGTTAACTTTCCAAGGGGCGGGGGTGGGGTGGGGGGTGGAGGGGGAGCCCTTCCTCAAGGAGTTGGCACTGGCATCCTGGAAACAGGCTGACATAGGTATGAGTGGGGAACGGCTTCTGCTGAGCCTTGCAACCTCTGTCTAGTCAACAAATGCTTCCTGGACCTACTATGTGCCGGGTATTGTAGACCACAGGAAGCAACAGGAACACACACACCAGCTACATAATTTTCAGGGGCCAGTGAAAAATTCAAATGAAGGATCCATATTTAACAATAGAGAATCTGAAAGCGGAGCTTTTTTAAAACTATGGCTTAGCCCACCCCGCCCCCGGCACCGGTTCAGTCTGTCTGCAAGGGTCTCACCTCCTGCAGTCAGGCCTGGACACCAACAGACATTAAACAAACAAGCCTGCAAGGGGTTGCTGGTTTTGTTTCTTCCAATCCCACTAAGAGCCAGGAAGCAAAAGACTGGGCTGTTCAGAGAGTGTTTGGGAGGAATAAATTGAACTTCGTAGACCGGGAAGACCTCAGTTAGTTCACACAGGAATACCAACAAGAGAAACAAGGTCAACTGAACACAGGCAAGAGGAATATTATAGGAAACAGGAAAGCACAGTTCGGAAAAAAACTTGTAGAGAGCAGAGGAAGTGATGTCCGGGCCTGGCCACCTGACTGTTTCAGCCATAAGACAGTTTACAGAGGAAAGGTGCAGCCGGGACTAAAGCATACCCTGTCACCTTCCCAGTGAAGCCAATGTCCTCTGGGAAACTCCTGGTCTGCCTGGCCCACCAGGGACCCGTTAGTAAGCATGCTGTCGGGAAGGGTGGTCTAGACTGTGGAGGGGTCCGGGTCCCGGGAAAGGCGGGACAGAGCGGATTCTGAATGGATGAGGATGCACAGCCCATCACAGAACCTCAGAAACCCTTCCGTGCCGGGACCACCCGGAGCCCCAGCGCCGCTATGTTCACCCGGCCCGGGCTCGCTCCTCTGTCCTGTCTAGCAGCCCGGCGGGCCACAGAGCCGTCCCCGTCCCGCAATAGGCTTTTCCGAGCAGACTCGGTGCGGCGGGGCAGGAGAGGAAGGAAGCTGGGCCCCGCTGCCCGCGGGACAAGCCCCGGCGCCCGGGAACCCTGGAGCCAGCGATCGGCCCTCACCCGGTCCCAGCGCAGCCACTGCGCGGTCTCCTGGTCCAGTCGCGCGTCCATGCCCGAGCCACTGACTCCCGGAGCTCGTGTCGGTGTCGCCGCTGCCGCCGCCATCCCGCCGCAGCCACCGCCGGGTGAAGGAGGCCGGGTCACCCTTCCGGCAGGGCGGGGAGAGGGCGGGGACAGAGGGCTTGCTGGAAGTGGACGTGCAGCTCCGCCCGGCTCCCGAGTTGTCCTTAGGGGTGCGCCTCCTGGAGGGCTAGGCTGGGAGGGTGGGTGGGGTGGAGTGGGGACGGATGCCTGGTGGCAAGAGGAGCCGGAGGCCACCTTACTCTAATCTCCAAGGCATACCGAGGGTCCTCCAGCAAGCATCACGTGTGCCCGGTGCCCTTCGTGTCTGGGATGCTGGGATGGTTGCACTCGGAAGCGGAGCTCTTTGGCGCAGGACGGTGGAGGTACCGCAGAAGCAGGCAGATCTCCCTGAGTTCGAGGCCAATCTGATCTAGGCCAATCCCGTCTGAATTCCAGACCAGCTCGGAGTTCATAGTGAGAACCCTGTCTCAAAATTTGAATTAAATTTTAAAAAGACTCTGGCAGAGCGGAGACAATCTTGAAAAAGAAGAACCAAGTGGGAAGTAAATCAAATAGACCAGCGAACCAAAAGGGGATTCAGAAACGAGACCACACTTGCAGAGACAGTTTATGTCAGAAGTGGCGCTGAAGAGCACCCGGAAGGACTAGTCGTAATTTCAGGGTGCTGGGTCAACTGGATTTTCACACTAGAAAATGTTAAGAAGAAAGTCGCCTCACCCGCGTAACGTCATCACACACAGATGTGAATTCAGGGTCAGCTGGGTGACATCCACACCTGGGCATGCGGAAGCACAACCAAGTATGTTTCCGAGCTGCATGTGGTCCCTCTTGCAATCCTGACAAGTGGGAGGCTGAGGCAGAATTGCTGTTGAGGTCAAAGCCTGACCTAGGCAGTGAGTTCCAGGGTTTTTAAACCATGGGTTTAAAAAAGGCAGTTAAGAACACTGACTTCTCTCCCAGAGGACCCAGGTTTGATTATCAGCACTAACATGGTGAGTGCTTACAACCATCTGAAACTCCACTTCCAGGGGATTCCTCTTCAGACCTCCATGGGCACACATACCTGTGGTGCATAGACATACATGCACGCAAAATACCCAAACATCACATAGAAATAAATAAATCTTTAGTGATTTAAAAGTGTCTAGCACCATTAGTCACAAAAAGCTCCAATGGGACACACGCAGATGGCCAACAATAGAATGATAATTACACAGTGGTATATTCATCCCAATCATATAAATAAATTATGGCAAGTCAGTGATGAGTTACACAGACCAGTGGGAATGAACAACCGTTGCACACAGCCTCATGGATGTAGCTCGTAAACGTCACGCAGAGTGAAAGAATTCAGAATACCAGCTCTGATAGACACCGAGTAAGGAAAGTATAAGGAAAGAAAACAAATCGGTGGTTTTCAAAACTGGTGATGGGGGTTCACTACAAAGGTCACTGGGGTGGGGTGGTTATGGGGCAGGGACAATTTTGTGTATTCATTGAGTTTGTGGCTGCCTGAACCCAGAACCGTGGCCACTGGGTATATGTTATATCTCAATTCTGAAGTTTCTTAAAACAGCATTCATCTTTGGAGTGGGTGTTTGTGCTGGGGCTTACGTATGTAAGTACAAGGATAACTTTAGGGAGTCGGCTCTCTCCTTCCACCGTATGAGTCCTGGGGTTGAGTTCAGGTTGTCACGCTTAGTGGCAAGCGCCTTTATTTGCTGAGCCATCTCACTGGCTCATATCTCAATCTTTAAAAATTACTAACATAAACACTATGAAGGAGTTAAACCTTCGGGCATTAGGAGACTGTTTATATTTGGGAAGGAGGAATTCCGTGCCTGCTCCCCGCTCCCCCCACCTCCACCAGTACTGGAAATTGACCAGGGCCTTGCTTGCACCAGCCAAGCCCCTTACCCGGAGCTATATCCCCAATCCCATCCCCTTAACCCCCACCTCTTTGGTTTTCTCTTGAGACAGGGTTGCCAGAGGTTGTCCAAGTTGGTCTTAAACTGGCTGTAGTTGTAACTAAGGCTGGCTTGGAACGTGTGATCCTCCTGCCTCAGCCTCTCAGAGCAGCTGCGGTTATAGATGTTTGCTGACACCCCTTGCTTGGACCTATTCTATCACCCGAATGGAGATGAAATGCACTCACATATATTACTAATAATTCATAGAGCTATAGTCTGTTGGTTGGTTGCTTGGTTTGGTTTGGGGTCTCCTGTAACCCAGAATGGCATTCAACTGAATATGTAGCCAAGTATGGCCTTGAACACCTGCTGCTCCTGTCTCTGACTCCCAAGTGCTGGGATTATAGGCATACCCCACCATACCCAGCCACAGTTTGAAGAGTTCTGCGTTTTCTTTGTGTTCTACTGAAAGCACTAGATAAAAGCACACATATTTAGGATGTATGGTATCTGTACAAAGGAACTAGCACGTAGTTACTATCTGATATCAAGGCTGGCAGGGAAGTGAGGGCAGTCCTGAGGGGGAAGATTAAGAGGCTGCTGGTGTGAGGAGGCTTCTCAGAGCACTCGCAGCTTGTGTAGAGACAGACAGGCAGAGATGGCTGGCCTTGGGGATGGCAGCCCCGCAAATGCTTTTTAGACAGAGTGTGCTCCCGTCTCTGAACCAAAAGGCTGGGAGATGGGAGCAGAGAGGAAGAGAAGAAAAGAAGGGCGCTGTCCTAGCCAGGTTTCCGCGGCGATAGCTGAATACCACAAACTGGGTATTTTATAAATGACAGGGGTGTCTTTCGCGTGTGGATCTGGAAACCAGGAAGTCCGTTATCTTTTGAACTTTTGGCAAACATGTTGAAACCATAGCAAGAAACCATAGCCTTCTTTCCCATCTGTTAATTCTGCCATCTCCTTCTGTGTTAGTGTTCTTTACTGCCTTCTGCCGAGATGGGGGCGGGCTGTTTCCCATGAATGAAAGGTCAGTGCATCAGAGCTCGTATTGGTCCCTCCGTGATGGACAGTGTGCTGGCTGATTTGATATCAACTTGACACAGGCTAGAGTCATCTGAGGCGGGGGGGAGCCCCAATTGGGAAAATGCTTCTGTAAGACTGGCCTGTAGGCAGGCCTGTAGAGCATTCTCTTAATTAGTGATTGATGGGGGAGGGCTCAGCCCATTGTGGATAGGACCACCCCTGCTCTGATAGTCCTGAGTTCTGTAAGAAAGCAGGCTGAGCAAGCCATGAGAATCAAGCCAGTAAGCAGCTCCCTCCATGGCCTCTGCATCAGCTCCTGCCTCCAGGTCCCTGCCCTGTTTGAGTTCCCATCCTGACTTCCTTCAGGGATGGACTATGGATATAGAGGTGTAAGCCAAATAAGCCCTTTCCCCCATAGCTTGCTTTTGGTTGTGTTTCATCACAGCAACCATAACCCTTAGACAGATGGGTTACTGCAGCTAAATCTCTGCTGAGATAAAAAAAAAAAAAAAAAAAAAAAAAAAAGGGGTAGCAAAATGGGGGAGGGGCAGCAAAATGGGTGTTTTCATACCTTTTATTGTATCGGGAATTAAGGGCCCAGGGTGACATCTAATAAGAACTATTTTAACTTCATCAGCTGCACCAATCTTCTCAATACCCCTCCATAGAACCAAGAAAAGAAAGTACATAGTGTGTTCACGCAGAGAGGAGCTATGAACAACAGGATCACCAAATCATACCCAATTCTCCCTTGCAGAGAAGAGGGCCAAGTTGTTAAGAACTGTGCTGAAAATCAACACGAAATAGCTAGGGTTCACCACACCCACCCGCTTCCTGTGTGAGGTAGAAAACAGTCTTTTGGGCTACGTTGGGGGTCTCTATATGCAGAAATCCTTCTTGGGGTGTGTTATAACAAACACACCAGCACTAGAGGTCTTTATGTCCTGACAGCGATACCACAGTGACCTGAAGCTGCTGATTTCCCACAGGTACCCTGCAACAATTATGTCATGTCACATCTGGGGAGACCCATGTTGAACAGTTTATTAGACTAGGGACAGCACCATGGTGGGTTGGATGAGGATGTCCCCCATAGGCTCAGGTATTTGAATTCTTGGTCCCCGGTGGGTGGTGCTGTTTGGGTAGGTTTAGGTGTGGCCTTGCCGGAGGAAGTGTGTTACTGGGGTTGACTCTGGGGTTTCAAAAGCCATGTACCATTCCCCCTGCTCTCTTTCTGTTTTGTGCTTATGGGAAGGTGAGCTCTCAGCTCACTGCTCCAGCCCTGTGCCTGCTGCCGTCATCGACTCTAACTCAAATAAACTCTTTCTTCTGTAAATTGCCTTGGTCATGGTGTTTTACCCAAACAACAGAAAAGTAAATAATTTAGGCACTTAGGGAAGATCTCTGATTTCAAGTATTATGGATGAGGAAATGAGAAACAGGGAGTTTAAGAATCTTGGAGGTTTTTTTTCTTTTTCTTGTTTGCTTGTTTTGGTGTTTTGAGACAGTGTTTCTCCGTGTAACAGTCTTGGCTGTCCTGGAACTTGCTCTGTAGACCAGACTGGCCTTGAACTCACAGTGATTGGCCTGCCTCAGTCTCCCCAATGCTGGGATTAAAGGCATGAACCACCACTGCCCAGCCTGAGAGTCTGGTTGTTGTTGTTTTAAGAATCTGTCTTTAAGTTATAACTAGTTAATAACAGAACCCATATTCCCACACCTATTCTCCTGATTTCCTACACAGACATCCAATCCTGGGCTTCACTCAATTCTTTTTAACACACATCTGTAGAAGGAAGTTCCGGGAAGTCTGGTAGCCTGTTTGTGTGTGGTAGTAGCTGGTACTTCATGATAAACCACTACCACCCGTCTCTGACATTGACAGCGTGAGGAGATGCTCTGAGTGATTTCATCTATTTGTCATGCTCTCCGCTGCCAAAGAGCTGTTTCTCATATGAATATCCTAATTTCCTGGGAAGTGTCCCAACCGGACCCAATACCATGTCAGCAGCTTCCAGCCCCTTTGAATCCACCCCCGGCACCGTTCTGCTAAAGCTCTTTAATATGGGAAATTTTAAATATTTGCTGACTTTGATCCCCAGGTAACTATCATGCAGCCACATAATTAATTTGTGGCCAATCTTGTGTCCTTCACTTTCTGCCTCCTTCTGAATTACTCTGAAGAAAGTTCCAGACATTATATCATTTTGTCTACAGATATTTTCGCTTCTATTTTTCTGAAACCTAAGATTACTTGTTGGTTGGTTTTGCTCTTTTGGGGGGCCTGCCACCCACCTCCCAAATAAATCACACACAGAGGCTTATTCTTATTTATAAATGCCCGGCCTTAGCTTGGCTTGTTTCTTGCCAGCTTTTCTTAACTTTAAATTATCCCATCTATCTTTTGCCTCTGGGCTTTTCCTTTTCTATTCCTGTATACCTTTCTTTATTTCTTACTCTGTGACTTGCTGTGTAGCTGGGTGGCTGGCCCCTGAAGCCCTCCTCCTTCTCTGGCTACTTCTTCTCTCCTTCCAGATTTCTCCTTCTATCTGTTCTCTCTGCCTGCCAGCCCTGACTATCCTTTCTCCTGCCTCGCTATTGTCCGTTCAGTTCTTTATTAGACCATCAGGTGTTTGAGACAGGCACAGTAACACAGCTTCACAGAGTGAAACAAATGCAACATAGACAAAAGCAACACACCTTAAAATAATATCCCCCAACAATCACTTTAACAGTAACCATAGCATCACGATTTCACCTAAACATTTCCAAATTAAACTTATTATCCTCTAATGTTACCAAACGTCCATGTAGTATCCAAATTTCTATCCCATCTCACTTAAGCTTTGTTTCCAGTTTGCTT